ATCAAAATTAGTATGTTTCTGAGCTGGGATTCAAACCAGGTAGTCTAACTTTGGTACGTATACCCTTACCATGGCAGTTGGCTACCTCTAAAAGAGCTATACTGAATGTGTTGTATTTAAAAGATTGACATCTGACATATGTTGTATTTTAATTGAGAAAAAGGAATTCGCAACATTGCAAAGTATTGCTTTAATCTTTTGAAGGAAATGAATGATATTGCTTCTTATAGGTATATAAAGTTCTTGTATATTTTTAAACATTGTCACTTTTGATCATTGTTTCTTAAAGTTAGTGTCTGTGACATAGCAAATTTTACAATATATCTAAAATTTTCTATTATGCCCATGAATATCTAAAAGGATGTTTCAATAACAACCTAAATCATATGTGATTTAGCAGTTTTTGTTAACATTTATATTATATTAAATGTTTCATTAAGACATATATATTCTAAAAATTCACCTTCTATAGCAGCGAGAAAAATTCTTGGTCCCAGCAATTAATGGCTAGAACCAATGATCCTGTCTGTGCAGGTCAATGGAAAGTAATTTAAAAAAAGAAGGAAGATGGGATGTCAAATCATGACTTTGGCTTTGCTGCTCTCTTATCCACAGAACACAGATTCTACAACCACAGAGCAAAAGATGTCATGTTGTTCCAATGAGTGTTTGTTAAAACATACACTATCAAAGCAAGTTTTTTTCTTAAGTAAAGTTAATAATGGAGCATTAATTAGAAGCCAATAAAATGAAATCATATTATTCTAGCTTGCCAAAGACATTACCTGTGTGTCAAAAAGAAGTGTTTGTGACCAGCATGTTAGTATCGTGTGCCAACAATCTGGGCAGGTGGTCACTAGAGACTTTTACTACAAGCCAAACCATGTTCCCCTGTGAATAGCTTGGTAAGGTCTTGGCCCTTATTTCTCCCTGGATTAGACATCACTCGGATTCAAATTGCCAAGTTACCTGGCCATAATGCCCAGGAAGTGTTTCAGCAGTTCTTTCACAGGCTGAGAATGATTTACTGCATTCAGAATTTTTCAATCTGTTTTATTGGATAAACTCAGAATATCTGCTTTATTGAATAAATTCATAATCTGTGTTAGGTGCCTTCTTTCTTCTTTATAAACAGCATAATTGAAAGCATTGTTTTGGTAGAATCTTCATAGAAGACCACAAAATCACCATTCAAATTAGCCCTAATTCATTTCACATTTGCTTATTTTACTATTAACTTCTCCAGAACTAATTTTTTTTTACAATTAGAACATCTGAATTTTAATTACATTACAATCAAGAAGCTCATTAAAGTCACTTAATTGCAACGTTTCCAAAAAAACCTTCGCTGGGTTTAATATATTTTAAAGAGTTACTGTCAAAGTATAATTTCACCATTACAAACAGCTTGGCAACAACATTTGCATAAAGATCTGTCAGTTTCTGAAAAATGCTCAAATGTTGGGAAAATCAGATTCGTTAAGTCGCCTTTACTGAGCAGCCTAGAAATGGAGAAATTGTCACATATATTCATCCTTGCAACCCCTGCAGTACCCTAGTCATGCCAGCATAGGGATTAAATAAATGTTTCTTGAAGGAAATAAATAATGCATTATATATTTTATGGTAGATTTTTAAAATTAAAAGCCCAATAAAAGTTTCCTCATGTGTGTTAATTTAACCAAATACTCATGTACTTGCTGCTTCTTTCCCACTCTATAAGGAATATTAGATTGTCATTTAAATTTTTGAAGCTCTTGTAAATACTGTAGGGCCAGAATTACAGAATAAAAATTGAGATTATTTTTAGAATTTGTTTTATGTTTCCCTTCTTACACATACTAAGAGGGTTTATTTTTGGTCACCTATGATATCTAAAACAGTGACTTGTAACCACATTTGTTGAATAAATGAATTAATGAAAATCTCAACTTTGTAATAGATGAAGATGACTATATTTTGTAGCATTAATTAGAGTGTTGGGACACCCCTCTCCAAATATCATATCCAAGAATAAGATGTGATAAAATATAATTATTGCATCCTAACATTTTAAAACTAGAAAAGGTCAGATTTTTTAAAAAGCTTTCAATTTGGTATTTTTTACTTAAAATGTCTCCCCTTTGTATTTTCTTCTTCCAAGTCCAAAGAAGAATCAAGTAAAACTGTATAACATTTGACCATTAAAAATAATTGTCACTCAAATTGCTGCCTTGCTCTCCAAAAGGTATTGCACAAAGGCTGGTGAAGTGACTCAAGTGGTAGAGGGTTACCAAACATGAGGCCCTAAGTTCAAACCCCTTATGTACTCATATATGAAAACAGAAAATTGAGACATGTTGAAACTATTCCAGGAATGGGGGGGTGATGCATAAAGGAGAATTAAGAAGGGAAGAAGGGGGTGAATTTAACTATGATATATTATAAGAACTTTCATAAATGTCACAATGTGCCTCTAATACAATAGTATGATAATTAAAAAATAAAAATAGGATTTTAAAACAACAGCAAAATAGTTTCATTCAATAAAAAATAATTTCGTTCAACCAAAAAATATTGCACTTTCTTGTATACAGTCAGATTTAACAAATATCAGTTGAATGAACAAATGAACAAAGGTATGAATAAATGCCCTGAGGAAATGCCAGATGATTCTATCAAGGAGGTCAGAGAAGACTTCATCAACAGTAATATAGATACCTTGAGTTTCCCATGAACACAGAAGCATCCATTCACTAACAGTTGGTAAGCTTCTACAATATGCTGTGTTCTAAGACATGAGCCATGAAGACTGACTGAGGGGAGTGCTGTCCAGTAGCATTTTCCATGATGATGAAACTGTTCACATGTGGCTACTAGCTACATGTGGCTAGTGTGGCCAAAGAGTTGAATTTTAATTTTATCCCTTTTAAGCTGATTTAAATTGAAATAGCATATGTGATTAGTGGCTTCTACAGTGGGTGGCCGCATTAGAATTCCCATGTGCAGAGATATGGAAAAACATGGCATATTTTAGGAAATAAGATAATGTGGAGGCTGGTCTCAGGAGAATGGTTTGGAAAATCTGCCTGGGTACAGATTGCCAAAGGCTCTTTGTGAAATAGTTGAGTTAAGATATTAATTTGGAGACAATGGAGGATCATTGGAGGTTTTAAAGTGGGAAAATGATCTGATGAGATTTGTCTCTTAAAAGTTGCCTGTGTGGCCATGGGAGCACAGATCTGAAGTGGTGACTACTTACTTCCCATTGATATTAGAAGCTAGCTTTGCAAATTTACAAAGACAGAAAATGAATTAGAGAGATGCAATTTTTGTTCACCTTATTTGTAATTACTCTGTGCTCTTCCTAGATAGAGTATTATGAAATGACTCTAGGTTATTCTCTTCTCCCTAATGGGAGAAAGTGAAGGATGAAACAACTGTGAAGACTCTGGAATTGCTTCAGAGGTTGCTGCGTGGGAAATAGAAAGAGAAGGTAGCAGCTTTCTATGGCCCCCAGAGCATCAGCCACTATGGAGGTAGAGAAGAGGGACTGTGGGCAGTCCTAAATCTATGATGGTGCTGTCCAAGCTTCCCAACCCCCACCAGCCAGCATCTCTTTCTGCTGTGTGACATCAGGTATATGGCCTTAGTGGGAGGCATTGTTTCTGAAAGGAATTGTAGAAAGAATGCTGGACTGAGAATTATCAGAATATTCTAGAAAAGACTGGCCTATAATCTTCAAAGCCCTTTCTGCTATAATGTTTCATGCCTGGATTGGTTCTTCTAGCTGTAGAAATGAAAGGTGGCCTGAGGGTACTCTAGCTGCAACTGGGAAGAAAGAGTTAAGCTAGGGATGAAGAGAAATTATCCAGGGGAGTCTAGGGCTTGGAAGCTTATCAAGGAAAATTCTGCTAGATGATAGCTTGGATACTTCCAGCATTCATTGAAGAGTCTCTTCTGGAGCCTGGTGATGATGGCTCACACCTATAATCCTCGTTATTCAGGAGGCAGAGATCAGGAGGATCACAGTTCAAAGCCAACTAGGGCAAAATGTTTACAAGACCCTATCTCAAAAAATCCCTTTACAAAAAAAGGACTGGTGGAGTGGCTCAAGGTATAGGCTCTGAATTCAAATCCCAGTTCTGCTAAAAAAAAAAAAAAAAGAAAGAAAAAGAAAAATCTCTTGGTGACCTGGTATGGCTCTTTTTAAATCCATGGCCATCACAGAAATGACAAGACACACATAATTTCTATTGGGCGATGGTGACAGTTACTGGCAGAGCATTGCTTTGAGGATTATACACATTACACCATTTTAAAAAGTGTAAATGAAATTAATAATGTAGAACTAATACCCTAGAAAAATCTCGTAGATATAAAATTTCCCCTTTAGCTCTTTTTGCCCATTTTATTTGTTAGTTCAGTTTAGTTCAGCCATGGCCTAGTAATCTGAAGGCAGATTTTATTACTAATTCTAAAAAGGGATATAAAAATAAGAACATTTCCAAATTTGAAGCATTTCTTAAAGGGAGCCTGGATTCAAAAGTCTAACTTTATCCTTATCCAATGCTTTTGGCAATGCTGAACAAATTTTCTGGGAGAAATTTAATAAACATTTCTTGGAGGGACAGCAGAGAGTGCAAACATCTCAGACTTGATCTATTTCATTTTCAGAACTACACTTTTCTCTATTCTGAGGTATTTGGGCATTTGGAGTTCTCATTACAAAAATTCCACACTGCTTCTAGCTTTTTGCCTCCATGACCACCACTATATCATTCATGTACATGTCCTGCATAAGCACTTCTTTCTGTGATAGAACTCGGAACCCAAAATCAATGAACACAGACAAAATAATAGCTCTTGAACTTTTAACTTTATTTTTCTCCCCTCATATGAACAGGTGATAAAACACCACTTATGGTCAAAGTCAAAACAAATTGTATGGCTTCTTCTTCTCTTCTTTCACAGAATACCAGAAAATGTAAACAACAGTAAGCTTGAAACTTCTGGTCCCTCCTAAATTTTTAAGTCATTAGAACAATATTCATTTGTTTGTTTATGCCAGTATTTTACAACATACAAGTAAAACTAACAAATGATCCAAGGCATCCACATGAAGTCATCTGCATTGATTTTAGTCTGATGAAGAAAAACATTGCTTTAGAAAGTGGGTCATGTGGGTGTATAAGTGGTTCGTGGACAGACCGGACATGCCATGGTTCTGGTCAGAGTACCACTGAAATACAAAGGAAAGAAGCCTGATTTGTTTCTGCATCCACAAAACGCATCTAGTTTTGACTTTCTTTGCGTTTTCAAGACCTAACAATTTTTCTAGGATAATTGGAAGATTCAACCAAAAAAGACTTGAATAAGTAAAATAGTTCACATGTAAACAATTAGAGCAAGAAGATGCAAAGAACTTTTATTAACCTCCACTACTCTTTTATAATCTTTAAACATGTTTTAGATCTTGGAAGCTGAGCCTTCACAGTGGCCAGCCTCCTGAGGGACCAGGAGGAGGAAGCAAGAGTTCCAGATATAGTATATTATTAGGTCGGCACTTTGCTTCTCTGGAGCTTGGTTTCTTCATTTGCAAAACAAAGGAATTGATTTTGATTTTCCCTAAAACTGCTTGTAGCTCAAAAATTCCACAAGACTTTTAGCCTGTGAACCTAATTCTTCCTTGTTGCAGAAAATTCTGCAACAATATAATGTGTCACATATAACCATAAATACCTTTTTTATGAGTTAAAAACTGCATTATAAATAAAAGGAGGGAGGATGATAATGTAATATTGCTGGAGATATGCCAGTAAGATTATTTTCACTGAATAAAGGTGGTCATTCTGACATGAATTTCCTTTGTGGAGGCACAGTTTAAAAAAAAAGTGAGAAAAATATCATCTCACTCTTTGTAAATTATGTAAAAGAAACATACTTCCAAAAAATGAAGGCATTTCCTTTCTAGGTTCTTGTTCAATATAACCAACTGAGGGAGAACTTACATGAGTGAAGTGGGACTACAAAGAATTGCCTCCCTTGCTTATTTTCTTCTTCGATTCCATTTCCTATACTTCATGCATCCTGGATTTTACATTCAGCCTATTCACTCAGTAAAAACCTGAGCTCTGTCAAGAGCCAGGCATGTGCTAGGTGTTAAGCACACAGGGATGAGTAGATTCTCTAACCCTGAATGGAACTGCATGGTTTTCAGGAAGCCTTTGAGGTTCTGATATCATGCTGCAATTGCTTCTTATTAAATAAACAGAATCTTCTAGCTGCTTTTGGAGTAGGAGGTTTTGTAGGGATTCTAAGCACGTAGCTCCACTTATGTACATAGGATTGCAGAGATATTAAATACTTGAACTAGAAGATTATTTAATCTTGTGACCTCCCTTATTTTATAAGTAAGACTCAAGTGGGAATCTCAGAGGTGATCTGGTTTGCCTAGAGTCCTTCGTGGAGTTCAAGACAGATCCAAAATCCATATGCTAATGTCTGTTTATTCTATTCTTGCAGTTTCTTTGTTGGCTTTTACTTAAAAAAAAATGACTCCTTTCTTTTAGGTTGGAGGGTCTAAGGCCATGAACACAAGTAAAACAAAATCATATACCATTGCCTGGAAATCCACTTGTGCATTAACGAGAGCTTTAGCAATCTGTGCTGAGTTTTGAAAGTGCACATTATCTGCAACAAAGAGAGAGAAAGAGAGGGAGTTAAAGTGCTGTTAAATCCCAGAAAGCACAGAGTGACAATGTACTGCCTGGAAATGAACACCGACAATTATCTAGTCATGCATTTGACATTGTCAGCAGTGAGTAATCGCACGCAGATATGGAAATGTCCCTGACTCCTAGGTACTGACCCTGAGCACAGCATAGGAGGATGCTTAGTGTTCTTAAACAAAGTGATGCTGGCTCAGTATTTTTATGTGTAAGAGTCTTGCTTAAACCTCACCATCTGCTGTTCCGTGGATGAGAAGATAGTCTACATTTCTGAAATATTCTGCTCTTGCCATCACAGTTGAATTCTGGAAAAGAGGAAAAATTAACATTTTAGTTGCTGCAAGTTCTAATAGAAAACTAGCTAAATCATTGTGCAATGGACTTAGCACCAATACTGAAATTATGTATTGCTTTGGTTGATAAATATTTAAGAGTCAGAGCAACACATTTTCATCATCATTTGCATTACTTCCATCTGATTCTTAGTTTGAAAAACTGAAAGTTTATGTGTCATATGTTACATATGAGTGAGACCTTAGGCATAAATGATGCCCGCTCAAGCTGTGTAGGGGTTGGGGGTGGGGAGGAGGATTGGGAAAAGGGAGGTTAGGGAAAGGAGGATGGGAAAAGAAGAATAGAATCCAAAAGGAGTAAAATCCTTTATAGTGATGAGCTTTGCAGTTAACAAAAGATCATCCTTTTGCCTGGGGACCTATAATTGAAATTATAAACTCAGAATTACTGCTTTAAAATTATTGAACACATTTGAAATAAATTAATGACCTAAATAAAATGAAAAATGCTTACTTTATAGTGCTCAAGGTTATCATCCTTTGTTGGAAGACCCATGAATCTCTCTGTGTAGATAGATGCTATAAAACATATAAGAATATGTTTTTCCTTTGATACATGTCATTTTATTATCCAAAAGACCTCCCATTTTAATATCTACTCCTCAGTTTTCCCATGTGTAGATCATGAGGTAAACTCTTGCTTTACTTTACATAATGGATGGCCTCAATGAAGGGGTATCATCTCTGTAATTTACCTCAGTGAGGCAAGACAAATAAGGTAGAGGAGATTATATTAACACAAGCATCTAAACTTTTTGGGCTGCTCTTAAGCTTTTCTACTTCTACCCTCTTAGGGGAAAATTTTGAGGTAGGAATGACCTCAGCATATTTTAAAAGAAATTACAAAGGTAGCCATCTCTACTACTTTTACTGGTGTCTTATTTCATCTTGGATGAAAATATGTTCCCTAGATCTATTCCCCTCAACACCATAGATACCTACACACACACACACACACACACACACACACACACACACACACACACACACTTATCTCTTTTCCCCAAGTAAAGGCTCCCCATAAGTCACAACTGTCTCACTTTTACTCCAATACAGGAAAGAGGAGCTGATGAAAGCTAAGTTTTGTACAATTATCAGAGTTATTTTTTAAAAATCATTCTGCATTTATGTTAATCATAAAAACAGACATGTGCAAGAAGAGGTACTCCCAAACATATTTTTCATTTCTCTGATTCTGGAGGTGTGGCTGTTGCAAACTTCAATGTGAAGGAAGATTGCTAGGTCCCTGGCCTGAATTTGCATACAGTGTGCTTAAAAGTCAGTTTTACCACCACCATGTGCCTGTCTTCAAAATCACAGCATTAGCTCAGATTTAAAAGATATGCTTCGGTAGGGGCTCAAGAGAGAAAATAAGATATACTGGATTTCTGAAGAGTCTTTTCCCACTCTTAAGATTTCTTTGATTGTCACAACATGATTATAATGAATCATATGAACAACCTCATTTATAGATTATATTTTTTTCCCAGTGATGCAGGGGTGAATTTTACTGCATAATTTGTTTTCCTAGCAACCTCAAATATAGAGTAATTATGTGTTAAATGTTTTCACGGCAACATTTATGAAATGTTTCCATACCGTAATATTCCCAGCTGGAGACTGGAGCCACTGCTATTCCACATTTGAAAAGACCAGTCCCAGACGCAAGGGCGAGTGATGAAACATAACCTCCATAGGACTGTAGAGACATTGGTATGAGTCAGACCCACATCTACCTGAAGAAGCTTCTTCATATTTGCATAGCAACTGTACTCATGCATGACCAGGATTAAAGAGAGGTGGGGGATAGGGGGATATGCAGAAGGGTAGATTAAATGTCTATCTTGCACCCCAGCAGCAAGCTCTACAAGTGATTTTCATTCTTAATAAATCCAAAATAATTTGTGGGCTAATCAGGATAGACACTCCTAAAATGGGGTAGAATCAATTTAAAATATAGATGGAACTACATTTTTTTCTGCAAAAAATTTTCCTTTTTCCATCTATCTTTTTTGTTAGAACAAAAACAGGATTCTACTTGAAAGAGTTGCATGATAAATATGAACAGTCTCCAAAATGTAAATGCAAAATACTTTTCAAAGTTTGTAAAATGTACTGTGAGGCAGTACTTGTATCTGTGTTTACTTATTGTCAGAACACAAAAAGAAGGACATAAGAATCTTCTGGAGAGTTTAAGACATGAATGGAGTTTGTGTGTTAACATATTCTGTTCTTGTCATAGCAGCTCAAAGATGGAAAAGAAAAAACCTCTTATTTCTTCCCGCAAATGTAATGGAAAAGAAAAGAATTACAAATGGAGATAAAGAGTACAGAGTCAGGACTAGGTTTGGCTCTCAAAGAATTCTTTCCCAAGGTGATATGTAGGTGATTCAGAAATGGAACTCTGATAATAGACTTCTCACATCACTTGGGTATTTGCACTTTTTCCTAACTATGAAGAAATTAGTAGGACACCACAATGAGGCTGCATGTCCTCCTGGAACGCAAATGTTGTCTGTACAGATGTGCTGGGTGAGAGGTGCTTCTCATGGAAGCCTAGACTAAGCCATCTTCTGGAACATGGACCAAAACCAACATGCATAGTAGTGTAGTGGATTAGGAAGTAATTCTCAGCATTTATTGTTGCCCTGTACGGGGACATCGGTAAACACCAAAAGAGAACAGTGACTCTTGCACTAGACATGTCTTGTTCTTAGGACCTTATTATTACACACTTTTGAGATTCACCTACCTCAGGTCACAACAGAGCTTATCACTCCTTCCAATAGAAAAGTCAGCCTCTAGAGAAGGAGAACAAGTGGAAAAGAGAGAGGGAAGAAGAGAGAGAGAAAGCGATGGCAGATCAGTGGCAGGGGTCTATTTTTCTATTCTTAATCCATGAAACACAGTGAGTGGGAGAATAAGCTATGCAATCTTGTTGAATTCAACAGTTAAATGAAGAATCCTCTAACAAGTTTACAGTTTTATGTTTCCAGCTCCGGGGAATTTTATTGAGGGCCGTTGGCTGCAAAACACAGAATAAAAGAGGCCGCTCCAATTATACCATGGCCTCCTTTTATTATACTTGGAGAAGAACTAAACCATGTTTTAATAGGGGAATATATTTTAAAAACAGAAAGAACATTTGGGTTTGAAAAATCATTTTGGTAAGTGAAAATGCTCTATCTGATTCAAACTTTCACTTATAAAAATAATTTGCTTTGATTAGTAGGTTAGCAAGAACTATTCTGAAGATGGAAGGGATTTCCTTCTTCTTTAATTTTAAGTCCAAATGAGAGCAGAGTAAACCTACAATCTCTAGAAAAATTATTATTTTTTGTGGCTTTATTAGAAGAGTATTTACCAAGATAAAAATGCTAGGCCCTCCTTCTTCTTTCCTACACCTCAGAGCAAGAAATAGCATGAAGTGAGATTTGACATAGAAACATTTCTGTTCAAAATCCTAGGGATTATTAATATGTGTTAACTCAGAGATTATGTGATAGTGCTGTATTTATATTTTTTCTGTTTTCAGAATAAATACAATTTTTCTCTGGAGATTTTTAAGAGCAAAAGTCACTGCAATCCACAACACAACAAAAGAAGGTTATGCTTTAAATTCTTAGGCAGCTTGGAAAGCTATTCCTACTGTAGAAATGAAGAGGGGGAGAAAAACCCGCATTGACTTTTTTCTCTCCCCCATGAGTGGGGATCCAGGCAGAGTGGGTGGCTGCAGTAAGTAAAGAACCCACAGAGCAGATTGGCCATGAGAATTCTAGAATTGTGTCCTTTGCACTTAGATGCCTTGCCATTTTGTTTAAATGAAGGATGTCTTTAAAAACATTCTTAGAATGGCACAGAATTTTAGAAGAGGTCTGATGGAATACGCTAATTTGAGCCACAATGCACGTTAGACATTTTACCTATAAGCAGTAATAATAACTAGCTAACAGTTGTCTGGTCAAGTCATTGCAGTGGTCTTTGCCATCCTACACACTGTTTCCATTCTCTTCCCTCTGACTTTCATCCCCTTTTTCCCCCTTGCTCATTGGCTCAGCTGTTCTTTGAACTCTCCAAGCGTGATTTAGCCTTAGGACGTTTGCAAATGTCATGACCTTCTGCCTAGAATGTTCTTTCCCCAGAAAGAAGCATGCCTCACTTCCTCTCCTCTTCAAGTCTTAACTCAAATGTCACCTGAAAAGAGCCTTCTCTGACCTTCTAATTTAAAATTATACCAACCATTCACCACCCTCTTTTCTTTCCTGTTTTGCATTTCTCCATAGAGCTTATCATTGCTCAACATCCTGTATTTTGCTTAATTGTCTTGCTTATTGTCTTTTTTCCCCAACTATTCTGAACTCTTTAAGAGTACAGATTTTTTTCTGTCTTGCTAATGAATACATCCCCACCACTGAGGATATGGCCTGACACATAGTAGGAATAGAATAAATATTGTTTAATACATGACTTTGCTATTTACTCCTCATATAATCTTCATAGTGACTTGGTGAATAAATTATTGATGTATTTTACAGTGAGGAAACTGAGGTTCAGAGTGAACTTACAGTGACGATGGAGTCAGTAAGCAACAGAGCTGTGACTCAAACCCAGGACATGTGCCTCAGCAACCCATGCTATTTCTTCTGTACCCCTACACTAGGGGCATAGAGGCACTAGGGCAACTTCTTTTGGGAGAAATAATACAGTCAACTATTGCCTCATTAGAAGTGCATTTGTCCTACTTTTACATCGCTGATCACACATAGCAATTCAAATTGCTTATAATTAGTCACTGCAAGGAAAGGAACTAAGATTAAATAATGAACTAATGCTTATTCAACACCACCTGGCTAGGTCTTTATTAACAAAGCAAAGCCCATAAACGAAGCTGTTATTCCAATGGTTTAGGCAAAACCATTTGTCAGAATAATTGCTTCAAGTTTTCATTGTATACAGGGTTTTAACACTATTGATGTTTTGGGCTATATAATTCTTTGTTATCAAGTTGTACAAGCACTGTGGAATATTTAATGGCTTCTGTCTTCTACATGCCAAAAGCTCTTTTCCAGTGTGAAAACCAAAATGTCTATGACACTGCCAAATGTCCCAAAGGCAAAATCATCCTGGTTAGGAACCACTGTAATAAACATACTTCTTAGGCACCTAGCAAATATTTAGTAACCTGCTTAAACCAACAGGGCTTTTGGTTTAGGTGAACCAGAAAGATGAAAAGCAAATTAAAAATGGTTTGTAGGATTAAACTCAGTTTAAACAACATGACAGATACTTCACATTGTTATATGATGTGCTTAACACATGCGCATGTGAGGCCAAAGCATGTACGATAACTAATAAGTAACTGGAATAGTTTAATTAGGTGCTACTAAATCCATGGTCCATGAAGCAAAAGCATCATCATTAACTGGAACCTTGTTAAAAATGCAAACTATTGAGTACTACCCTGGTGTACTACACATCAGAATTTCTAGTGGTAAGGCTCTAGAAGCTGTCTTTACAAACTCTTTAGTTGATGTGGATACATCTCAAGTTTGTGACATGCTTGTCTAAATGCCATATGATGGGATTCAAACTAAACAGTGTCGATGGAGGTGATGAGAGCTTATTTATATGTTTGAAGGTAGAACTTAAAGAGCTTATTAACAGAATGTTGGAGTTAGGGAGAGGGAGAGTGAAAATTCATTCTGAGTTTTCTAATTTAGATGACTGGGTGTGTGGGGAGGCCCTTAATGATGAAAAAACTTATTTTAAAGTACACTGTAAGAAGTTTAGTTTGTAGTAAATGAAACCGGAAGCCCATGTAAAACATTTGGGAGACATGACCAGTTTGCTTTTCAAATATGGAGCTCAGAAGGAAGGTGAATGCCAGCAGCAGTCCCCGTTGCCTTTGAAACTCTAGGGTCTCCCAAGACAATGAAGAGTAGTGCTGGGTCAAAGCCAGACCCAGAAACACGTTAACATTAAAAAAAATAATAATAATGAAGTGTGATGTTCATAGACTCAGAAGAATGAAAAGAGAAAGGTGCCACAGAGCCATTTAAAGCCCACTCTGCTTTATGGGACCTAAAAGGCTTATGTTCTCTGGTCATCTCATGACTCTTCTGACTTTTGAAGTTTTACATGCTTCTCACTCAGACATGCCTTACTCTTTGCTCCTCAGGAACTATACAACGTGGTCAGTCTTCACTCTGCCTAGAATGCCCAATTATTAAGATATCTTTGTCCACCTCTAGTGCTGACTCATTTTTGAATTCTCCTTTAGCTCTCAGAGCCACTATTAACCACTCTTCTTCCCATTTTTCTTCATAGCAAGTTACATCTTGTTTGACACCAAGAATATTGATGGGCCATTGCTTTTCTGCTGTCTGGTTTCCCCTATGAGAGGGTCAAGCTATCCATGAGATACCATCCTTTCATCCCTTTAATAACCTAGCACAAGACCTACTTGCGATCCAATGAAAATTTACAAGGAAAAAAGAAGGAATGAACCATGGATCAGACAGATGGATCAATAAATACGGACTGGTAATAAAAGCCAAAGAATTCATAAAACAGAATAGAAAAGTATTAATGTCCTTTTCCAAATCAGTGGATTTGGAGTCTGCTTATTTGGGGTCTGCTGGGGTATTACATCAATTGGCAGTCCACTTATTAATTTTCTCTCTCAAACATGCGCTCAGAGTCTGCTTCATGATCACTGCCATGTTGGAAAGTAAGCAATGAAGGGAGTCTAGTATGCTATTTCTTTTGGTGGTGGCATTTTCACAATTAGATGTGGTGAAAACCTCTTATTGAAGAATTCCAGGCTGATAAGGATGTACTTTCATGTGATGAGTGGGTTCGTTAAATCATCCCACATAGATGATTCTCCACCAAACTAATACCCAAGATGTTCTATAAATGAAATAAAAAGTTCTACTTTATAGTTATTTCAAAGCCTGCAGTAAAGCTCCATGAGAAATGTTAATGATTGTATATGTGTTCATCTTAACATGAGAATCCCTTCAAAGATTTACTTTACAAAATTTCATAAAGATGGATGATAGAAAAGGTCTCATATGAAATATTCCACTATAAAATATTTTATTTATCTTTGCCCATTTAAATTCCATTCTGTTTAGATAGTTAACATTTGATAGTTTTAAGAAGGACCAAATGGCTTGGAATAACAACTTTCTCCAAATTCGTAACAGCCCTTCATCTGGTCACCACTGAGCTGAGAGTTGAGCCGAATCTTGCAGATTCCCTTCAATATTGGGTTTCATTCCCTCCATCTTGTACAGGCCGCTCTCAGAGAAAACAGCCAAGAAAAACAACCCAAGTACAACCGGCTGCAAATTGACTTGCAAATGTACAAATTCAGACCAAGAAGTAAAGTAAGAAATTTTCTTTGAAGGGTAATTATCATAATTTATAATGGGCAAACCTAAACTCTTTCCAGTATTTCTCTAAACCTTCCAGTGACTTCATTGTCCCTGAGTGATAAGTTTTGCCACTTCCTTTTATGCATATCTTCAATAGCTACAGAAGTCTTCAAACTTGAGAAACTATCCCCATGACCAATATCTAGGAAAATAATACTTCTCTCCAGTTAGCACAATTAATGTTAGGTATAGTAAAAGAATCTAGTTGCCAAAAAACAAGAAAGAAATTTAACAACCTGAATGTGATTGTACCAGGCTATGTACTAAGAAATTTATATTCTAAAATTTCCTACAATTTCCAAGTTTAGGTCAGCTTTTCATAAAAATGAAATACAAAGTAGAAGATTACATATTTAAGTCTAAAATAACAAAGGAAATCAAATCTCTGATGAATATAGTTCACTTCAATATGCTATAATTACCCAAATTAAGTAAAAATGTGTCAATTATAAGTTAATTTGGTGTATGAGGAAGAAACAGAATGATTGGAAAAAAGGAACAAATACTTAAAACCACCACTTTGAAGTCCATATCATCCAAACTGACTGTTTCCGTGACAAATTAAATTATGTTACAACATTAACATTTCATGAGAAACCTTATAAGCGAACACTTCAGAAAATGATGATTGCTGAACTGAATAACAGGCATAAAACATATAAAACAACTCACCCAGCCCCATATGGCTATTCTTTTTTCATCAATGAAACCCATTTCTATGAATTTTCTAAAGTAAAAGAAACAAATTTTTAGAATTTTAAGTGTGTACACATGACATTTACTTCATTACACAGCATATTTAATCCAAAGATTTAATAGAAATGCTACATTTTCTTTGTTTAAACACATGCATAATAAGGCTGCATTTACAAATAATTAAAATATTATCATGTTTTCTGCAAAAGAGAAAAGGATCCTCTTAGGCTTCATTGTACATTTATGAAGTAGTGATCTCAGCACTATAAAGTCTAGTATCCTAATCATATAGGTGAGTTACCTGAGACTCAGAGAGGTCACAAGACAGGCTTATAGAAACATAAATAACAGCTCCATTGACCTGGACCAAATTTTTAAATCGCTAGCTTTTGCAAGGAAGGTTTTTCTTTTGCTGCTCACTTAAATTTTATTGATTTCTTATCACCTTATTTATTTAATTGTTGATGACAACTACCACTTCATTTTAAGTCATATTTGAGAAAAATATCCATCTTTTTCTCATTTCATACTTAGGCATACCTCAATTTATCATAATGTGGATATGACATGTATCTTTTAAAATATGGAAATTATTCATTTTAGCTCTATCATGGAAGAGCTTCCATTTGAAAATCACTTTGAAACTAAACTTTTCCTTAGGACTAGGACCATCAGGAAAACAACCTTCAAAAAGTCATGGGAAACCTTCAAATTATTTCACGCTAATTTATACCATGATCCCCTTATGGCTGGTGTTCTAGAGCAAATGTGACTTGTGTGGGGGAGTGGATTGACAAAAACTCAAGAAAACCTCAGAGAAACAAAAGCAGTGTTAGGAATAAGTGGTGATAGAAGTGGGTGGGCTGCAACAGAAGCTACTGTATGCAACAAGTAATCAAAAAGAAGAGAGGAGACCAAAGTGGGACATGGTCTCAGAAAATGCTATGGTTTTTGTCCTCTTTGGTTTCTGCTAGTGCCCTTTCCCAACATTTCTTCTTTGGAAACAGAACTGACTATTTTCATTAGTTGAGTCATGGAGCTTTTTTTATTGTTGTTGTTGATGTTGTCTTGTGATACTGTGGCTTGAACCCAGGGCCTTGTGCGTGAAAGGCAAGTGCTGTACCACTGAGCTGTATGCCTAGTCCATGGAATATCTTAAAGGGATTTTACAGCACCCATTTTGCTCACTGCATTGATTCAACATGCACGTTTCTGATGCATAGAGAAGTTGGGCAAATGCCCGGGACAAACAGATGGGAAGAGGCCCCGTTAGTCACAGCTTACCCGACACTGATTCTGAAGGACACTGACGAGTGTACAGGGAAGAAGTATAGTAGCAAACGCAAAGTTGCTACCTGCCTGGGTGCTGCATGGACAGCAAAGCAAATGCACAGCAAATTGTGGCCCTTCACCACTCCAGAAACTTCAAAAATCACATGAAAGAAGAGAAGGCTCACTTCCTTGTTAAAAAATAGTCTTGCTACTAGTGCTGGAAGATAGTTCTGAGCCATAAAAATCAGTCGTGATTTTATGATCCTCAGAAGGTAGCAATCATACTGCCTTGCATCTGGGGTAAAAGGCAAATAACAGGTGATACATGGGAACAGGAAATTCTTAACAGCTCCCTTCCTAGGTTTATTCTGAAAGGATGACATTTACAGGAAATGATAGTGCAATAGTTAACCTGGAAATAAAACATTAACACTTAATGTGGCAGGACTAGGTTAAAGGTTAGCTAGATAATCTGAGCATTTTGAGATCAACAAGGCACTATAAAATTCACCTCTAAATTCTGAAAAGCTTCTAGGAAGGTCATCAGAAATATTATTGATAATATGACTAAATCAATACAATCTTAGTAACAAATAAGTAGGATGTTCCCCTAATTTAGAGGCTGGATTGAACTTCCATTAAAATGGCTCAGACCAAGGTCAACTTGGAACTTCAGTGATCAATTAATATCCTATTTTAGAAATATTCTTAATAATACCACCTAAACAGTATGATAGGATTCTTCACCACTCTCAAATTATATAAAAATATAAAACTATGGGAATTTCAAAAATGTTAAATATACTCCAAATGAGTGAAGTTGACCCTATAATCGCTGAAATTTTATGACTCTCTTACATGTGCCATTTTCACAGAAGCCTGAAGAAAGCAGGTCCCAGTTTCAGTAATGTTTGTGACTTCAAAAGCATCTCCTTAGATGAATTCTCTCATACAAATTATGAGATTGTACTGAGTTTTGTTTCTTCCTTGCTGTGTTTAAATCTTTTTTTGTTTGACTTGACTAGTATTTACTGTTGTTTCCAAATACCTAATATGGTTTTCTTTTGGTGCATAGAAAAGTTAGCTATATAGTATTTATGAAATTCGAAGGGGCTAGTTTCATTTCTTTGGGAGAGATTTGAAGAGTTATAAGGGAGGATTATAATCCCAATTCCCCAGGTCACATATTCATTGTTTGATTCCTAAAATACTTCTTTGCAGATATGTGGTTAAATCATTCTCAGGATTGTGATTATAACTCTATCTTTTTAGCTTTTGTTTTCTCAAGGTATTGTGTTCCAAAGCCCCCTTTATTCTTTTCCAAAATAGTATTTCAAGCCAGGCTGAAGCCAGCTCTGCTGTATGTGACCATGAATGAGCCACGCAGCTACCTTGTGTTCACTGAGGTATTTGTTAAAAGATCCACTTAACAGCAATGTTGTCCCCTCAGAGCGCAGATGGTCTATCCGCTTTTACCAGAGATTGTAAACTTCACAATTTCATACACACTACTACAATGGCCTGTATTAAATTTTGATATGCTGTTGTTGAAAGGCTGAGCAAATGAATGAACATATATTTGTCCTATTGCAGGAAAACTTTGTTCAGATTTCATCCTAAAAATGGCTCAGGAGAGGTGATCTGGTGCAACTTCAGTTTAGAAGCTAAAGTCAAATTGGTACTATTGTGACAACTGGTAAAAGGCAGAACTTGTGACTTTGTGTCCTGCATATTGAACGGCAGAAATAACAATTTTTATTAAGGTCTATGCAGGGGGTTCAGGCTTAAAATCTCCTCCATTGAAGGAAGAAATTAAGAAGTTGTTTCTTCCTCAGTTTGAGTGCTATGCTTGTGCTCATAAATCAATGCACAAGAATATGACATATTTTGTTGTTATTGGTGGGCTGTGTGACGATGATGAGATGATAGTAATGATTTTCTTAAGCAGTGTCAGAATAAACCACTATTTAGCCCTGTCAAATTTGGATGACAACTAACTGAATTACAAACAAGGTAAAATTTCTGTCTACAGTTTCGTGTACTTTTGGGATTACATTTCCTTAGTGTTTATTGCATGGTTTAAATGACCCAAGGGGTACACCCCCCCAAACCCTAAGGAATTAAGGCTAGAATGCCAAACATTGTATTAACATCCTTGTTAAGACACACCACAATATCTACATAAGAAGCTGTAGCTCAGTGGTAGATCATGTGCCTCTAGAACATGCAAGACCCTAGGACCAATAACAGCACTACCGACAGAAAGCAGAAAAAAACTTCATGTCTTGGTGTTGTTTTTTCCCTTCCTTTCTTTCTTTTTGAACTATCTCTTCATTGGACAAGATTCCTTCAAACAAATTAATAGTGAAAACTCTAAAAATCAGGATCAGTGAGAATTATGGAGCCTCCTAGAACTAAGGTATTATGATGGCTATAGATTTTGGTGTTTTCAAGCCAATTTATTAATTTGCCATATTTTATTGAAATAAGCCTGTTTTTAATTAAACATTTTGTGTGTACATGCATATGAGTATTCACAGAACTGAAGAGATATTAAATATTAGTTACAATTATATATTTCTATTTTAAAAATTAATTCTTTTTGCATCTAAATTCTTCTGCCTTGATTAGTGGGAAAAAAACACAGCAAAATGTTGTCTGGGCCTGTATCCTACTTGTTAAATAAAATCTGTTCTCTATATGTTACATTACGTTGCAATCAATAACTAATAATGACATTAAGATGATAAAAAATGTAGTAATAAATTTATAAGTTGCTCTTTACTGTGAGTATTTAACCTTTAGCTGTCACTCATGCAAAATCATACATGGCTGAAAGCACTGCTAGCTTGTAGCTTTTAGATTTATAAATTCCTATCTCTAATGTCACCTACTTACATTCTCTAATGTCACCTACTATATTAACAGAAACCCAACAACTAGAGAAATAGCCAGAAGAATTCTGCACAGTGTTTCCAATGTGGCAGTAATTTTGGTGACAATATTCTTTTTGTCTCTGGAAAAGATGACTGAACAATGAATTGTGGTTGAAAATTGAGAAGAAGAAATCAAAACTGACATCTCCTAAATGTTTTCATATGAAACTAGGCAAGCACTTTCACACTAGCCTAATTGACCTTGACAACTATTTTAACCACATGTTAATGCACAACCCCTAAAATGTGCAGTGCTGATAAAAAAATTGAACCATTTCTAAACCTAAAGAGGTAGAATTCACAATGCTTGAACAAATTCAGATATTTGGTTTGCCAAAAATTATCATTAAGTGACACACAAATTTTTTTGCCAAGTGTGAGCTGTGGTAATGAATTAAAGGATATTGGTAGGACTAACATCTTGAAAAGAGGGTACTTGTCACTTAGCAATATCAAGACATTTTTTTACACATTTGTTAGCTCTCTTCTATGAGTAATTTTTCCCATATTTGGCAAAAATATCCTTTTAAGATTAATGATAATTTTTACCAAGATAGAAAAATAGGCACAAATGCACTAAGTCAATAAAAATGAAGAAATAAGGCTGGGGTATAACTTGGTGGTAGAGTACCTGCCTGCCACATGCAAGGCCCTGTGTTACATCCATAGACCACAAAAAGAAAAGAAGAACAAAAAGAATGGAGACACACAGAAGTGATTGTATCATGTTTGCTGCCTGTGGTTAGTTTGAATGAAAAGGTGCTCACCTGACAGCTGTAATCTGATCCTCAACTTCATAAACGCCTAGCTTTCGATATACTGCATATAGGAGTTTGTCACCTTGGAAAGCTGTGCCTCGACCATCCACTAAGGCAATGACTACTCCTTCTTTACTTGCAAGGTAAGATGTCCAACTAATAGCAAATACAGACCTTACACTCTGGCTGCAGGGACCACCATACCTAAAGGAAAAAAAGAGAGAAAGAGTGTGTGAGAGAGAGAGAGAAAGAGAGAAATTCTGAATTCTTTATAAAATTCAGTTTCCCATACTGACACAGCACTCATTGGCTCTAGTAATTCCCAGTGCAATTATGTGATAAAAATTTCAATAACAATAGCATTAGAACTGGCTCAAACTCAAGAGGAGATCAGGCTTTTCCCAGAGGTTTGCTACATGGAAGTTGTTTTGGGACACAGCCTCTCCTATTCCCCAAAACGGATACATCTAGGGTTGGCATTTCAAGGAATATGTGTGGGTTTTTCGTCATTTCTGCCACCTGCCACTTGCTAAAAGCAGACATAAGATATACTAAAAAAAATGCATGGTGTTTTAAGCAAATTGTGTGTAGGTCAGCACTGATTTTGGGTGTGATTCCACTAAATGTATTCCATTCCTTTATTTCATTTCTAACTCAATTACATAAGATGTTAAGATGATTTACAATAATTTTTTGGCTGCAATTTCTCTATCTCAAAGGTATTCTGACATATTCGGCAATTTGCCATACAAAGGAAATTCAACATAGCAATGCAAGTCCATCTAAAATCTCAAAACTTCCTCAATCTATTTTAAATAGCCATATTTTATTTACTCTGATTAGTTGAGGAATATATAAAAACAGCATCAATAGGAACTGTTACCAAGGAGAATGGTTCATTCTATTTCATAAATGTGTATTTCATCCAACATATTTTCAGTAAATAGTTTTTACACCAAAGAAAATATTACATACACTTGAATTAGCAAGGGATACTTCTTTGATCTGTCAAATTGAGGAGGAAAAATCATCTTGTACCATAAACCTTTGAAAGGAAAAAGAAGAATAATCTTCATTCCACATGCATGACATTATTTATTTTCTTTTATAAAAATATACACCATAAAATCAATTTATAACTGGTTATTTGTTACAAATTAAGAACATAATTTAAATTGATTTCTATTACATATTTTAATGTCTAACTTACAAGTGGCTAGAAATCTTGAATTATTGTCTGTTTTAGATACACATATTCTAAAATTAAAACTAGACAAGTTCTTTTTAAAAATGTCAGTTTTGGAAGGGAACTAAGGAAAAGTGTAAGAGTAAATGTATTCATAATTATATTAAAAATGCTTAGCAAAACTAAATATTGTTACAGTAAGTTGTTTTAAATTAGAGCCTGTAATGTATCACAGGATACATTTACTATAATATTTTAAATCAAGAGAAGTGTTCGACTTCATTTCTATAGGTGAGAAGTTTTTAAAAGATCTTACTAGTTTCATCCACTTCGAGTTTCTTAATTTCTTCTTTGGGCAGCTGAATATTTTTCAAAGCATTTTCCAATTCCTCGTTTTCTTCCAGGATTTTAATTTCTTCAAAAAATAAGATGTTCATTTTTTCATTAATAGTATTTCCATAAATAATTTTTTAAGAAATTCCTTTGGCTTTAATATGGATGAAACTGGAAATGTATATGGCTTCTATAAGGTATTTCATATTGACAAGCAATAATCCAGCCTTCCATGCAGATAGGAGTTTAGGAAGGACATCACATTTCAATCACTATCTCCTATACTGATCCTTATGGCATCAAGCATTCCTGACATTTTGAGCAGAATCGCAGGAGCAAGGCTGTTAACTCAATCGCACTTTCTGATCTCCAAATGTTTTTTTTTTTTTTTCAACTTAAAGCCATTACCTGAGTGAGTAGGTGACACTTCATTTATCATCTATCAAAATTAAGTAGTAGATACAAAGTCTTTATATTGAGTTCTCAAATTTAAAACAATTGTATAGTTACAAAAATTTAAAATTTTCAGTGTATGAAGTCAAATATTATTTCTGTGATTTTATATCTATTTTTAACCTTATCTTTCTGTGTTTGATTAACATAAGAAATTCTCTTTTTCATAATTGAGTAACTATGAATACAACTCCCTCAAATCCTTTCTCCCATGTGTGTGTGTGTGTGCCTATAAGTGTTCACTATGCTCTCTTTCTGTCTTATACCTTAGAAAATCTTCTAAAATCTGCTGTTTATATTTGAGGTCAGTTATTTCCCACAATTTAATCTTTGAAATTAAGTAAATCCATTGGTCTCATGAATGCCATAGATTGATAATACATGCAAATCATTTTCTAGAAAAAAGAGGGCTTTTGATAAGGTTTATTTTGAACTAGTATAGATACAGCACCTTTAAGTGAAAAGTTTACTCTTTCATGTAATGTGTGAAGTTTGTAGCCCTTTTTATTAAAAAGAGGAGTAGATGATTTATAAAATATGATGATTGCTACCAAAGAAATCCCAATGACGCCTTGTTTATTTGCCTTTTGAAAAAGTGGTCCATGGAGATAGTGAACTGGAGACTTGTACACTAAGTTTTCCAAGACACTTCTCTTGTGACTCTCAGTTTTCATAAACTCATGGCATTTTGCTCCAATGTGTTATATTTAATCTTAGCACAGTATATATATATGCACATACATATATAGGGTATAATTCTATGAGGCGCATAATAAATTTCACATTAGCTTTGGTTAATCCATCAGAAAAGAGATACTTGTGACACATGAGAATTTAAAGCCAAAAAATAAATAAATAAAATTAATACACAATTCTGAGTGGAGCCAACTCTTCACTTTCTTTCTGTGAATTCTGTATGTAGAGCTGTCTTGGATGAAGGGAATTATGTGTGGAACAAGCATATAAAATAGTTGATTGATTGATCAATTACTATTTTTATTATTTGACCATAGAAAGTAGAAGGTATTATCAAGTTGATGTGGCTTTGATTCCTTCTTCATTCTGGTTCTAGCTATTGAGCTTTCAAAATGCATGACTTAATGAAATGCCATACTTAACTAAAAAGCTAACTAATGCTCCTAAAATTAGAGTTGTATTTTTATGGATAGTGAGTGGGAAATTTTCCTACTTCTTAAAGCACAAATGGAACTTCAGAGGGCTATAGTGAGACTGAGGGCTGGCAACTGTACTTCTCCGTGGGGCTTTGTATTAAAAGCCTACAACCCATAAGGGGTAGTACAGTCCAGACAACAACCTTTACTTTCCTTCACTCATTGTACCCATCCCACTGAATACCTAGTATCTGTCATGCAGTAGGCTTCCATATGTATTTGTAGACTCTATTATGTTAAAATTGAGTTGTATGTGGCAAATATTATATTGAGTTTTGTTTAAATCATATTAAAATGCTATATTACTCATTAATTAAATTATGTGAAGAACCTGTGGGAAAACCGATAAATGAGGTCAGTCAGTTAATTTTAATGAGAACCTGCTATTCCCAAAACAGTTAAACATCAATTGGGCCCTCAATGTCCAATGTCAACTATTCTGGGTTTCCACAGCATCTGGTTCAAGTATGATCTGGAATTTCCAAAGGAACTTGCTCTTTGCAGGAAAATGATGCCATTGCATTGTTTGCCATAGTGCCTATAAACTTTCATACAATTATCCCAGTACTTTCTTCATTCTTTCCCATCATAAGAGATTAATCTCTTCTCCTCTCTCTTGACTCCATCCCAACTTCTCAGGGACCTCCTTTCTTGATTTCTTCAGCTCTTTTTGTCTCCTATGTTCTTCTATCAGCATTTAACCATACTCAAATACTCCTCATCTTTAGAAAATAAAATTGAAACTCCATTAATCACTCCTAGCCATCACCCTTCCTATCACCTTCTCCCATCACAGCCATACCACTGAAGACACTGTTTCTCTTTACTTATCTCCTATGCAGGTCTAACCCTTCTACAGTATAGCTTCCACTTCTATTGCTCTGCTAAAATTATTCTGACAAAGGAAACCATGATCTACCACTTGCTAAATCCATTGTTGTATAGTATGTCTTGCTTCACTTTCTGCAACATAGCTGTGCACCAACACCTTCCTGTGAACTTTTCCTCCCTGCCTTCCATAACACCATACTCTTAAGGTTAGACCCTTCCTGTTGTTCCTTCTTGGTTTCTTTTACAGGCTCATGTATGTGCGTCTGTGTGTGTGTGTGTGTGTGTGTGTGTGTCTGTGTGCATGCATGCTTGTTTCTTGAGTGCTAATGGTTCACACAGTTTGTTCTTGGCTCACTTTCCACTAGCCCACACAACCTGGTTCTCACTATGCTGATTTCCACCACTTCCAAGGTGTGAGTTACCATGTATTCCATGAACTAATTACTCCTTTATGATCTTCTTCAGTACAAACTGATGCTTTGGTATCCAGATCCAGGAGTCATGTCACCACAGGACATCTCTATGAGGATATCCTACCAATACCTTTAACTTAATATTCAAAACAAAGTTTATCATCTCCTCAAAGATCTGCTCTTTACAGTAAATCCTCTTTTTCAGTAAAAAGCATAAATTTCAATCCACTTGAGCAAGTCTACAGTCCAAACAGTATCAATTTCTCTTTTCTGTTCAGGTTTGATGTCGCTATCATTTGTTTTTCCTAGCCAAATCAAACCAAACCAAAACCAAAATAAATAAATAAAAAACAGATTAGGTACTCTCTCTATGTGCTTTCATGTTTTCTTTATTTCCCTTATCTTAAACATTAATCTAACTCTCTTATAGCTTCCCATTTGCACATTTGTACCACGCACTGATCCACAATCACCTTGAAAGAGATTATGTAAGAAACAATGCCTAACCCAGAATCTATCATTTTAAAAATGTAGTACCTAGCACAGTGTCTGGCTAATTTGGTAAATTCCTAGTAAACATTTGTTGAATGAAGATTGCTGGTACCAAATGCAATGGAAAGTGAATAGATAAACCATAAATAAATAAAAGACACAGTGTCTGCTACAAAACACCAGTTGGACATTTATGAAATATATAGATTCTCAAGCACAATGCAAGATCTACTGAATTGGAGTCTCTGGAGGAAGAGCTGGGAATCTGTATTTATGGTAAACACATGAGAAGAATTTCATCATTAGGCAACTTTGTGGAAATGTGCTCTAAAAAATTTTGAGTTCTGTTTCTTGAATTAGAAAATATAAAAATACATATGATGTACATGAGGGTGACGTAATAAAGCTTCAAAACTAGTAGAGAGATTAGTATCAGCCAAGAATATAACCAGAACATTAAGAAAAAGTTCTATGATGTGAAAATTTGTGCTAGGGAAAAAAGAAGCTGACTTGTATTTTACAGTCATGATAAATTGGTAATTTCCATTAAAACAAAACTTAAGGGCTTGAAAGTAGTACTGCTTTAAAGTTTCTCTCATTGAAAGTTGAAATGAGTCAAATAAAGAAATGTAACCTGTTATTCTTTAAGGTATTTCATTATTACACACAAAGTTGGAACAACTTCAAATGAAACTAAATTCACAGAACTATATTACAATGCCTTTCCTGTCCAGAGTTCCTGAATTGATTCTTTTTCCTAATGACTTTATTTTCACCAATTATTTAGCAATTGAGGTGACTCCAAAATTAATCCCAAGGCAGTGTCCTGACATGTCACCAAAGCTGTCCAGGGTCAATTGCAGGCAAGAGTACTGAAGTAAGTAGTACCTGCTTGTCCCACAACTCCAACCCTATAATGTTGCTGCATAGTAAATTAGAAAATAGTGGAAAATCATCAGGAACAATATCAGAGCAATTATACTCTTGGATAACTCTGCTGAGAGCAAAAATGGTCATCTCTGAACTGTGAACTATTTTGAACTAATATCACAAATTCAGGGTAGAGGAGGACTGTCTTGATAGCAGTTGAAAATGGAAAGAGCCTCCAAGTTTCAGGGCTTTCACATGTGGCATCAATGTGATGTAGCTGTTAAAACAAAAAAGCTGGTGTGACAGTCACCCTCTGCTCGGAACTGAACCAGAGAAGTTATGCCTAGAATTTGTTGCCAGTTTACAATGCTACAAAACCAAGGAAGAAAAAATATAAAACCCCTGCTCCAAAACAGAAGACTGTACTGAATATGCTAAGTTTCTTTCTAATTCTACTTTAAGTTTCTTTGTAATTCTACTTGTCTGTGCTTTTTGTAAGGCCAGTTGGGCAAGATAAAATCATATCCTATGGCATAACTCATCTGTGTTAGGCCAGATTTTGACTGCAAATAATCACTAAATTTCATATGGTCAGGTTTTGACCCTAACAACATCTGAGTCTGAGCAATAATAAGCTGTGTGATAACAGGATTTCACCACAGTTCCTCTTTTCAGTGTGGGGAACTTCCCTAACTCTCTCCAGTGAAGCATCATTCAGGATCGCTTTATTCAAGCCAGCAGCAGGCAAGAGAGAGTACCTTCATCAGTGCGGCCATCATGGAGGGTGGAAATGGGGAGGCCTGGACCTGCACACAGGATGAAAACAAAGACATGGTTTAGTATTAGAATAATACTTAGTTTTCAACAAGGACTGCCAGAAGTATTTGTAACTAATGTCAAGCTCAAGTTCATTTTTTAATTCTGTAGTGATTTTTTCCTATAAAGAGGTAGACATCACATTTTTAAGTTATATTTAAATAACACATGAGATCAGAGCCCAATAAAAAAACAGATATGAGACAAGTATTACTGTGCATTTTTCCATGAGTGATCCCAAATAGCTTAGTTTAATTACACAGAGGGGCCTCAGAGTTGCAGTGGCAAATGGTCTTCTGGGAAGGTGTCACACTATTTTGGTCTAGTTTTAGCTAAGTTTTTATTATCAGGTAATCTTTACCAGTACCCAGATTGTATTTTCAATCTGGCTTTTTGGTTTAATGTTCAGTTTATTTTGGTGGGTAAAATCTAGCATCTTATTTCCATGTACTTATTACATGCAGAAATAAATTGGTACAGAATATATTTCCTTTAGAATTATGCCAGTTCAGGTCATGTTCCTTGGGACATAGAAACAAGAAGGTTTGTGGGCCAGAAGTTTATGAGAGGAGGAAGGCGTGGCATTGAGATGTACACTCGTGGACTTAGAGGAGGAAGGATAGGACAGGAAGGAGTAGGCCACAGAGATATCACACAGAGACCCCTGCCAACCCATCAGAAACCTCTGGAGCTAGATGGCCCATAGAGTCATGCCAATAAGGCAACAGGACTTTATCCTTGAGCATGAAGCCTAGTCATTTGATGTGCAATCTCTGGAGGGAGACTCAGCTATAAGCTGCCAGCTGCTAGAACCCTCAACAGTTACAGTCCTAAAGATGGGGGATCTGGCTGGCTAACCAGTGTCCAGAAACTGACACTTTTAATAAGCTCTATAAATAATCAAACACTATCGATCACTCACTGAAACCTAGAAATACACTTTTAAATCATTTGTTTGCTTAGGCATTCAATGGATTGAAAAGCAACACGTGGAAGTTGGGATAGATCTTCTTGCCAACCCTAATATTTCCTTCTAGTGGAAGGAGCACCTTAGAGTAGCACCCTTGGCCCCCAAGCAAAGCAGCAGAGGGCTGGTTTTTCTGATAAGTTCTAAGAAGACCTGGGTATGAATAGTTCCTTCTGGCTTCCTCCTGGCAGCTTTCTGCCTGCAGAGAACATGCTTTTGATTTATTCCTCAGAGTTGTAAGCGTGACAGTGCCAAGCCCCATGGGGGAATCCTACAGCTGTACAATTGTACCCATATTTGTGTAAGTATAATTCTGGGGTACAATATTAGGAAGTCAAACACTTCAGCCACATTTTCCAGTTTGCCATAATAGAATAAAGCTAATATTTTTATTTCTTGTCTGACCTCTAGGTGTAATTTGGAAATGAAGAAAGGGATATTATTGGATTCTCTCAAAAACAAATAGTTCTTGTGTAGAATCTGATTTCGTCCACTTCAAAGGTGTGAGTAACCACGACTTCTTTATAAACTGACTTCTTTATGATCATCCTCAGTACAAACTGATGCTTTGATATCCAGATCCAAAAATCATGCCACTGCATGAGATGATTAGAGAATGCAATTGCAGAGATTTTTCAGTTGAGTCGGTATTTCTTCAAAGTTTTCAAAATGGAAAAATATTCATGATACATTTTGAGTCAAAATGTAATGAAATGAGACATTTAGATTTAGAGCCTAAACCTCCAGGCTTGAATCAGTCAGCATCCATGCTGTGGAGTGTGCACAGATGTGTAGTTCCAATAATGAAAACTTGCATTCTTTTCAACTGCAAGACAAACTGATGACCGCCTGCTCTTGACACAGCAGTCTGAGGATGTAGTTTTATGGGCCAAACACTAATGCCTAGAATTCCTACTTTGCATTCCTATCACAATCACGAATATGATTTCACCTGCATTAATCCTGTCCTCTAGGGCTTAGCATCTCTTTGGAGAGTTTGAAGTTACATAATGAGGCTTTACTCTTAGTCCTAAAGGGAAAGATTTCAAGGTTTTTCCTATGATGGCGCAGTGACTCATTTTACTGGAGCCTCAAAAACACCAGACGATGTGATGCTTCCCACACAGTATATTTTTTGCTAAATGGGAAATTACCATACTGCCGAAGAAGAGTGAGTGGTGGAAAAGTCAAGCAATTCAAGTTCTAGAAAGGACTCTTCCATCAACTTTTGATGAGAGCTTAGTCTTTGATTCCTTATCGCTTCAGTGGGTGCTTAGGCTCATGTAGATTTTAGGAAGACAAAGTGATAGAAAATGTGGTAAAGTGTGAGAGAGTGCTTTCTCAAAACATTTAAAGCATTATTCAAATGCAAAGTACATATCAATAAAAATGCATGTGTGCTATTGTAGTACCACTGATGCCTTTGTCAGCAAATGAATCAACATGAAACAATTTTCTTGGTAGACTTTGTAAAAGACAACACTGCATTAATACTTCCTAATGACTACACTTACTCTGCAAACCAAGTATCTATAATGCATTAGACATACAGATATAATGCACATAGACCTTTCTTAGTCTCATGAACACAAACATTAAAAGAAATCAGCCTTTGCCTTCCTGAATAGAAAAGCAGATAAACAGATGATTGGATTTGGTTAGTTCAATGAAGCTATGTTCGTGGTACCTAAGCATTCAATACATATTGCATAAATACAGAGCTTGAATTGCAAACATTGCATATAACTTGAGAGAGACATTTAATGTATACCTTTAAATGCCATAAACACAATCAGCACATATGGTCATAAACAACAATCTCTTGACATTTCAAAGATGCCACTGACCAAACATTTTATGAAAGTGTTATTTCAAACTGACATCTTGTGCCATCTTGAAGGGAGCATTTGGGTTAAGATGTTTATTCATGTCCATACAGTCAAATGAGCTGTCACTCAGGTTATATGGCCAGGTATATGGATTGAGAGAAGAAGCATATCAGAGTAACCCTCATTCTTTTCTCTTTATAGGAAACCCATAAGAGGTTTCTGTAACTGAACAGGGTGGCATGCATTTTGCAATATCTTGTTTCAAGCGCTCTATCCCCTCCCCCAAATTGGGGATTGGCTAAGCGGGGGAGGCAGAGATTGAAGAAATTGAGGTTTTTCAATTTAGTTTTCCAAATCTCCACAATGCCTATCAAGACCCCAATATATTTTATTGATCTGTAGTGTTATCTCAACCTGTTTTACTCCTTGACACAATTTTAAGATAAAATTGTTTGGGTAGGAATTATCTATGAACTGTACAATGGCCTAAACAATCATGAAATGTTTTATATATTTTACTACCTAGGACTTTTTTTTGTATTGGAATGAATTAGTTAAGATGTTTTCCAAATTAGAAAGGGATACTGAATGACAAAAGTTCATTTTCTATCCCCATTTAATCTAGAGTTGGAAGAACGACTGGCCTTTGGGAAGAGACCTCAGGTTTCTAGGTTGTTGAGGTTGTGTTCTCTCCACTGGTTGTAGGAGTTTGAAATTTCTCTAGCAAATGAGGTCAAAGTCCAACAACCATTTTGTCAGAGAAAATGCTTTTTTATGATATTGTTCTGACTATACATAGCTGGTAGATTGTGTCTGCATTTAACGTCATGTTGCTGTGGGATAAGGTGGTTAAGAATGTGGGATTTAGAAGAAACGACTCTTGCTTAAATCCTGGCTGCTGCTTATCAACCCCACACACCTTTGGCAAGTTACTCTCAATTTCTTCAAACACAAACAAGGGGGGGTTAATAACACCTTCCTTTCATTTTCTCATTCAGGCATTAGATAATCTCCTTACATACAACAAGTGCTTAATAAGCTATAGCTAAGAACTGATCAGGATGATGACAATGGCAGTGGGATGAATACTTATGTTAGGTCCATCACCTACCGTAGCAGATGAGTGCATAGTACTTGGCATAGTCGCTGAAACTTGCTGTGTAATATTGGCACCTTTCTTTCCTTAGATGGCAAGTAACACACTTCTTGCTTGGAGGATAGCTTCCAATGCTAATTCTAGAGGGAAATGAAAATAAAACTAAGCTGAAATTTTGAGATTGTATTTATCAAAATGTACTACTCCATGTAAAGTGACTAATTTACATATTGACATCAAACCCACTCTATTTTTCTGTTGCCAATATCATTTAAAGTAAAGGGGAATCACAGTATTTTGATGTAGCTTGATTTTTGATCCATTTTTGCCTGAAGAGGCATAAGCTTTGAGGGAGAAGCCCTCTGTGGTTTTCTTGAAGTGGGAGAAATATCTAACACTTCCAATGGAGTGAGGTGTTTACTTCCCATAATCATTAATCTCTTACACTTTGTGAAGTGATTGAGAATCCATAGCTCTTCATCTTCCTATCTCTTTTTCTACTCCACTGCAAAACATACTAGGAAAATCTGGCAGTATCACCAAGAAAGGAGTCCTGTTTTTATCTATATCTGGAAGAGGAATTAGGAATAAGCAAATTGGAAAATAGAAGCCAAGTTCTAGTGCATCCAGTGACATTCATTTTCAGTCAGGAAATGTGGGCATTAGTCAGGAAATGTGGGCATTAGGGCTCAGTCTGAGAGTGCAGCCTCCTCACATCCACTAGCGCCAACTTGCACTTTTCACATGGCCCACACTCACCCACACAGTCTTCTTGATTCCTAAGGAGTGATT